CCATGTTAGGCGTGGAATCAGGGGTTAAGGGACGGCTGAGATTAACAGCATAATCCAGGTGAGCCTCCCACGAATCCCCATGCTGACCATGGGATCAAGGGCCAAGGGACAGCTTATAACATCCCAAACTCTTAAATATCGAGATATTGTTTGCTTTGGCCTAAGGGCCTCACGGTTTTGTCATGTTGGTGTAACTTCACATGAGCAATACACCAACCGAAAGATGAAAATTAAGTATCATACAATACAAAGTGCTACACCATGGGAGCCACCTCTTGAACCCTGTATAGGACAAAGTGCAATGTGGCTTGAGTCACAACTTGAACTTGTAGGAGCCACCTCTAGAATCTTATATGTCTGGTAGATGATTTTAGGATAAAGATACTAGCGATGATGTCAGATACTCAAGTGAGGGAGATTATGAAATTCCTTAAGTAAAAGAAGCTAAAGTCTTAAACATCAAAGAGTCTTTTGGTGTAATGATTGGAATTTCATTTAAGAAACTTGGCAATTAAGCGTGCTTGTCCCGGAGAAATTCTGGAATGGATGACCTCATGGAAATTTATACCAATAGGATAAAACTGCGAGGCCCTTAGGTCAAAGCAGACAATATCTCAATAGTTAAGAGTTTGGCTTCTTTTACTTGAGGGGTTTTACCCGTTTGAGATTTAACACTCCCTCTCAAGCTGTGGAATACAGATCTGTCATTCCCAGCTTTATAATCAGGACCAGAAAGGTAGAGTTATTAAGTTCCTTGGTAAGAATGTCTGCAGCATCAATTTCATCATTTTCCTGCACCCCATGCATCTTGATTTCACCTTCAATAAACTCCAACTACTCTTTCTTTAGGAGCACCACCTCTACATCACCATCATACAAAATTTTATGCATTCTTGTACTTTGATTAAAAGAATCAACAACGCCATAAAAAAACCTCTAATCATTTGGCCACCAATTTTTTTTCTTTGAACCAACAATTGTGACATCCAAGCCTTTCTTACGCTTTGTGGTCCAAAAGCCTCTTGTACACACTGAGCACACTTCCATCTTGATTTTATTTTATCGATATCTTTAACATGATTATGATCTTCAACCAAATCTTTCACTATAGACTTTTGAGAGGAGAGAACTTCCTTTAATTTCAATTTTTTGTCTTCAGCCTCAGCATGCTTAACTCCTTTCTGCTTCTTAGTTCCAAAATTTTGCTTATTTTACAAGAATCTCACTCTAACTTTTCTTTGAGATCCATTTCTACCTCCATTACTTGGAAGCTTTTTGTCAGAATTATTACGAGCTTTTTTCTTATTACCAACTCCATAATGATCATTATTAATTGCAACTACAATAAAGCATTTCTTCCTCCTCTGCGATAACTTATATATAACCTTCTATCAGGCTTTGTTGCACCTGAATCCAAGCTATGTTCAGAATTAACTCTAGATTTACCAGTATGATGGTCAAATTCAACCTTTTGTTTTGCAACCATGTAATCACAATTCCCATTCTAAAAAGATTCATTATTCGTCGTCAGTTAGGAAGATCCTTCTTCAGTAACAACATATTTTCAGGATGAAAATTTTCACCTTCCTGCTATGCAGATCCGTGAGATGAGTTGTCATAAAGAAATCGCTCATAATTTATGGTCAACTTCTTGATTTTCACCAGAAACATTCATTTCATTTTGTATTGAAGTGTCAGGTTTCCCCTGAAATACAATAACAACAATTTAGGTGTAACCACTTAAAAGAGCACCATTGCCATTAAATAATTTAGACAAATATGGCTTTAGCTTCAAGGAACAATAAACAAGCACTTTCTCAGCTAGCTTCTTGGCTGTGTGCAGAATATTTTTTTCAAAAACTTTCACACCATCCAACATACATGATAAAAACTGTGCAGAAATACTTTCAATCTCCTCCAAAACAAGTGTCATGATAGTCTCCATTGAGGAGAAGACACTATCAAAATGCTTTGACCTTATTGTATTCATAAAATACTGAAACATTTCCAATATCAAATCATCACAATCAAGATCTAACATCAAAACACAAGACCGGAAAATAATTTAGACAAATATGGCTTTAGCTTCAAGGAACAATAAACAAGCACTTTCTCAGCTAGCTTCTTGGTTGTGTGCAAAATATTTTTTTCAATAACTTTCACACCATCCAACAAACATGATAAAAACTGTGCAGAAATACTTTCAATCTCCTCCAAAACAAGTGTCATGAAAGTCTCCATTGAGGAGAAGACACTATCAAAATGCTTTGACCTTATTGTATTCATAAAATGCTGAAACATTTCCAATATCAAATCATCACAATCAAGATCTAACATCAAAACACAGGACCGGACCTTTGCAACAGTTTCAAGTATTGAAACTCTCTTTGGAAATGAACGATTTGACATCTCATCCAAATTCTTGAAAGCTCCAACAATCAGCCCAATGAATAAGCTTTCTCCAATATTGGCAACATCTTTTTTCTCAGCCTTTGATTTTGATCAACCTCTTTTTCTGGCTTTTTCCATGATTCTACACACCTTTACAAATAAGTCTTCAATCGAACTCTCTGCTCACACCTTCCTCAACTCATTAAATAAAAGAGAACAGCTAACCTTCACCATGGGAATAACATCTTTCTCATGTATCAAGATGGTAACAATGTGCTCATAAGAGAATGGTAGATCACATGTAAGATAAAAACGTTATCTTCCACTTCAAACTTAACAAAAAGATTTGTAAGATTCAAATGAACCTTGTTGTAGACATTCAAATGCTCTTGCAAAAAAGCACTTTCCATCATGCGGAATGCAAATAATCATTGCTTCAGATAGAATTATTAGCGCCAAAATCTTCATGCTGCGAGATTTCAAGCCTTCCTACATATCCTGTGCAATACTCTGTTATGTTACATTCTGAATAACTTTGCTTCTTAAACATTAGGATGCTCAAATTGAGGGCCTTCTTATTCATCTCCTTTTTCTCCTTGTATGTGTCAGGTAGGGAATTATCCTCCTTTAAAGCCTTGAGAAATTACTCCATGAACAAAGACACTGTCATCATCATTTTAAAAATGATAAAATTACTATTTATTATAGTGTTGGTGGAAGATTTCTATACAGTGGAGGGCACAACGATCTAGGAGAAATCAAGCTTTAATGCCAATTGAATAAATATCAAAAGAACCAAATCACTTTCCGTAAGAGCACCAAAAGGAGAAATGGGATCAAACTAGGACAAACAAAACTAGCAACACAAAGTATGATAGGAAATAAACAACTAACCACATAGACAAGAACAACAAAATGTACATAGTTCAACCAAAAATGACTAATATCCATGGGGCAAGGAGGCATAACTAATTCAGCATCAAAAAGTTTAGAAGAGAATAAAATAAGAGTAGTAATATATATACCGAACACTCTTCTCTAAAATCTAGGAAAGGGGAGAAAGGAAAAGATCTAACCAAACTAAAAGGAACATTTCAGGAGAAAATATAAGAGAAAAACAACTCCTCTCTGCAAATCACCACAAGAACCAAGGATCTTCCTCCTTAGATATCATGCCTTATAATCTCGACTGAAGACGCACCTGATTGCTCCTTTGTTACACTTTTGATCTTCATCAACTTTATTTTGCAATATTTGTATTATTGCCACAAATAGATGAGCAAGAAAAATCTTTCATCTCCCTAACTCTCACTCACTCGCATCTCACTCACTTGCTCACTCCCTTTCTATAGTTCATTTGCATGCACAAAGTCGCCAATATTAGAAACTAATCTGAGAGACTAAGCCCTTATGGATTTGATATAACTCCTTGCATACTCATTGGATGATTGAAAATATACAAAAGCAATAGTTCACTTGCTCACTCCCTTTCTATAGTTCATTTGCATGCACAAAGTCGTCAATATTAGAAACTAATCTTAAAGAGAGACTAAGCCCTTATGGATTTGATATAACTCCTTGCATACTCATTGGATGATTGAAAATATACAAAAGCAATAGTTTCCATTTACATATTTATTATGGAGAAAGGAAATATTGAAATAAAAACCTTGATAGATAGTAGACACAAAATACAAACATATTTAAATTCAAGCACCCATCTCTCTAAAAAAAATTACATAACCCAAGACCCCAGCTTATTAAACAGATGATTCACCGCCCCACCATAGGTAAGAAATATGGTTTTTGCTTTTTGCGTAATAACTTTCTCATGAGAACAATGTTAGATAGCGCCCATTGTGAACAAGTTTAGGGGTTCTAATGGAACCAACAACCCTCTTAGATACAAGTAATGTCTTTTACATCAACCTCTCCTCAAATCACTCATTAAAGGGAGCCTCATGCCATGGACATGTCCCATTTTTTAAAAGAAAGGGTAAAAACTATTTAATTGATGAATATGAGGATGAAGATACAAGCACTGAAGAAAACCTTGCTAGCTTCATATATTGATTCGATGTAAACCCAACAAATTAAGTGTTTATCGGTAGGGCTTCTCCTTTCTATAAACTTGATTGAAAACATGCAATCAAAAGGTTAATTTACCAAACAAATTCAGACACTGTCCAAATACAGACTACTTGCGTGGCAGCAACAGCTTTCGAAAGAGAAGGTTACCCAAATAATAAAATGAAGCAACAGGAGGCGCTTGCAGCAAGCACAGTGGCCGCAAAGTAACACTAACAGGACCATGAGGCAATTGCATGATTGTATTGCTAGATTGCTAAAGGAAGCTATAAAAAGCGTAGCAAATTTTAGAGGAAGCAATTTTTTCAACTTATATTAGAGGTTTCTTCCATTTCTCACAAATTTGTATATCAACAACCTTCTGCTTATTTCAATATCCCCACTAGAAAGAAAAAAAAAAATTGATGCAGCTAGACAAGTTTCTCTTTCCTGACAAATTGAAGTATGAAAACAGAACCAATAGAAAATAAAAACAATAAATCAATCTTTTTTTGGGGGGAAAGTCGCAGAATCAGCGTTACCCGTGATTTCGCAACAGCGGCACAGTACATATCAAGCTTTTGCTTCAGATAAGCTGCATACTCTTCTGGATCAGGATTAGCCGACGGATCACTTTGCAAAGACTGCGCAGCAACCGAAGGACGAGATCCCTTAATCTCAACCACCTCATCTTCTCCTCGCGCCACTCTTCCTTCGCCCTTCCTAACCGACGAAGAACCGAAGGAAGATGCCGACTCATTGCAGATCGGACTAGATTTCGGATCCCGATTAGGGTGAGGCCTCTGATAGGAATCTGGGCTCGGATCGATCGGAACAGAGGTTGACGAGGTTTTCTGGACTGCCACCTCTTCCAAAAACTTCTCAAATTCCCACTCTGACGGACTCCGATTTATGCCCACCGGAGACGGCGGCCAAAAGGGACCTGACATCTCCTCCACTGAAAAATCCCTATCCATCTTCTCTCTCTAAATAGAAATTCTCACTTCTTCCCGATTGCTCGGAAAAATCTCTCCCCTCCGCTGAGAGGAAGAAGAGAAAGAAGAAGAAAAGAGAAGCGAGAGCCATGGCCTTTATCCGGTCTGTCCAGTCAGTGGTCAGCAAATTGGAAGGAAAACGGATTGTTTTCCGACAAGTCCGTCAATTTTGTCTTATTTACATTAAATGTCTATTATTATTATTATTTTGAAACAATTAGGGGATTTAAGTCCGGAGAGAGAGAAATTTCTTCAATAGACTACTCGGCCGCAAACTTGATCTCAAATGGTGTATTATGATTTATGAGCAACCCTCCATCAGTTCATAATTATGATTTCATTTCTAACGACTTTTTTACTATTTTTTAAATCAATTTTTTAGTACCAGCTTCAATAAGCAGTAAGAAAATTGTCTCAAATAAAGCCTAAATGTATAGAGCAACAAGACCAACTTTTAAATTTAAGCTCAAATACTATACAAAATTAAATTTAAATTTAGCTTGAAATGGCTCATTGGTGGTACCATGAAAACCCTATATTCCGATTTTGATTCCGATTTTAACCATAGCTCGAAAGGAATTGTCATCTCATAAACTCCCTTTCTTCTACAGATATTGTCCGACCTCTAACTCCTCAAACAAGCTCTCATCTTGACTTTGCCTATTTGTCTTCCCCAACTCTCATTACAACTCCGCCCTCTTATGCTTTGCAGCCATAATCTACAGCAAGTTATCATCATGACTTTGATAGCCCGTCTTCTTCAACAAGCACTTGTTGCAACTTATATGATATTCGTCTAGTTGGTGTCTCCCCCCTTGAATGAGTTCTCATAAAGGTTTTCCCACTTCTCTCTACCTCGAACTCACAAGCCAACTTGTGAGCCCATCGTTATTGCGACGAGTCAAGCTCGAGCCAATGATTTTGTAGGCAAGCTAAGATCAAGCTAAACACGTCTCAAGGTTTGCTTGACTTGTTTACACCTCTAATAGATTGTGAGCATTTATGAACATTACTCGTGAATTACTTTATTTGGTAATGTTCTCTTGGGAAATATTCTTACTCAATTTTTTTCAATTTGGAGAAAAACATTTCATATAGCCAAACCCCCACTTAGTGGGATGAAGGCTTGATGTTGTTATGGGAATCATAGAAGTGCCTAAAACTTAAGCTTCATTTGGACAATTTTTTTACTATTTTCTAAAACAGTTTTCTAGTGCAAAAACTTCAAGTTCAAACAATTTTCGTACTAAAAATTTATTTTAGAAAACAGTAAGATAATTGTCCCAAACAAAATTTTAGATATAATAAACTTTGAATACATCCATTAAAAATAAAACTATATATATTCTATATTTCTTTTAGATACAAAGCTCAACTCTTTACAGCTTCCTGAGACTCAAGCCCATTGTATAAAGTTGCACAAACAAACAAGTAGAAATAGCTTTTAAAGTAGAGTTTTAGGTTGCAAAAAAGAGCTCTATAGGATAGTATAAGGTTTCATTTCAGATGATTTTCTTATTGCTTTTTAAAGCAGTTTTTTAGTGCAAAATTTTAATTTTTTTTATTAAAAAACAATTTTTAAGAAACGATAAAAAAGTCGTCCCAAACGAAACCTAAGTTAATTAAAAGAACATTTTTTCACAATCCAAACTTCAGCCTTAGCTAGAATTTCTCATTTAGTTCTTCAATGAAGGAGGGTGTTTTGGTACCATCTCTTAAGCATTGAAACCACCATGCCATTAGCTCATCCTGCAATTTTTTAATGGAAGAATATCAAATATCAATCAGTAAAATAAATTGAGCTGAAGAAGCAAGAAGAGATAAAAAGCAAGATTTTGATGTGTTATTAGAAAAAAAAAATTACAGAGAACACAACTAAATACCTTTTGGGACAAATCAAATGTAGTTAATGTAGGCCTATGGTTAGTGTTAGGAACTCGAAAATGATACAATTATAGAGGAATGAATGTGTTAATGTTGAAAAATTAGGCTCAAAGCTAGCTTCTTGTTAAAGGAAATGAAGGCAAGTTTCTTCAAGGAGAAAAACTTTAGTTGGCTAATAGAGGGCAAATTTGAAACTTAGGTATGATTAATAATTAAATTAGTGTAAAAATCATTTTAAAAAATAAATCGGCAAAGTTGTCTGTTTAACGGTTGACTTGATACAAAAAAAAGAGTTAAATTTTCGTTAGTAATGAAAGGCTGATTACTTTAGTGAAAACATTATGTGAGTGGAGTGACATAATAAAAAATAATAATTTAGAATTTAAGTTAGAGAACCCTATGATATTTAAACTTGTAAGAATGCCCAGTATAATTAATTGCATTGGATTCTTGGCTTTCATATTTACTATTTTTTGCAGACATATATTCACATTGGAGTGATCGACCTCATACAACACCAATGAAAAATATTGCTAGATTGGGGGTGTAGACGACTAAAGAAATGTGTTGCCCGATCGTCAGACACTCTCTTAGAGTAGAAGGCAAAGGCCAATGAAGTTTATTATTGTACCACACATTTTTTTACCTCATGCATGATGAGTTACTATGCATATTGCATGCAATTTCTGGTTGGGTTCGGGCCAACCCGAAATCCCAAAAGCAACTCGAAACTTATCACTTGTGCTTTTCCGTGCGTTTGTTGATCGCGTACGCTCGCTACGCTGAACTTGCTCGCTTGATTACTCGCTCTCCCTTAGCATAGTTAGCGAGTCAAGTCGGGTTAGTTTGAATCAGATTAGAGGCGGGTCATGTTCATATCTAGGTTTGTGACTCATTAAGCTAATCGAGACGAATTATTTGAACACGGGTTGGTTTCGGATTGGACATGAGCCCGACCCGAATACTTATTTTGACAACCTAATGTATAATATGCAACAAAAGAGAGATCCCATCGTGGTTATAATTCTATAAAAAAAAAAAAGAGCCCATAGTGGTTCCGAATAGGGGTGTAAACGAGTCAAGTGAATCTCGAGTCACACCTTGTTTGCACTTGATTAATTAATCGAGTTCAAGTTGCACTCTATGAGTTTTAGCCAGCTTATTTATTATGATATAAATACAATGAGTATGATTCAAATAATTATAACAATAAAACAATAAAATAATCACTTTAAATCAGAAAATAAAATAAATTTTAAATATTCGTAAGCAATTTGTACTTGAAATTATGGATGCTAATATATTTTATGCTAATTTGATATTAACATTTAAACGAACTGTCTCGTAAGTTGATGAGTAAAATCAAAGCCACTTTAAACAACCCTCCTGAGCTCACTTGGCTCTCAGGAACAATTATTAGGTCAGGAGACATGACGTAGCTCTACATCCATACGCCAATAACATCCCGCCACGTGCTCTTACTCTTTACCACGCGGCCCGACGACCCGACCCAGACCGGAACCCGGGATCGCTATGTTCGCGTATTTTCTCGGTATTGCTCGGTATTGCTTGACAATAACGAGAAATACCGCTATGTGAAGAACAATACCGAGTTTTGCCTAGCAATACTCGGTATTAGGGGTGCAAACAAGTCGAGTCGAGCTCGAGTCAGGAGGTGTTCGAGCTCGACTACAAAAAACCGAGCTCGAGCTCGACTCGACAACAGAAAATGAGTTCGTCGAGTCGCAGTTCGAGCCTGTTAACGAGCCTTGCATCTGCGTCGTGCCGTTGTCTACGCTCCACCTGCGTCGTTCGCGTTCGTCTGCGGCAGCTTATACGTCGTTTGAATCTTCTCGCAAACAAGACAAAAAGTGAAAGGCTCCAATTCTGCTTCTAAATCGTTTGCATTCCGCCCGCATTCACACATAGATGCTTACACAACGTCCGCGTTCGTCTGCGACATCGTCTACGTTGTCCGCGGTCGCCTGCGAGATTACTATTCATAGTCGAAAGTGATGGATGTTTTCCCGTTTCGAGCTTTGTCGTTGTCGTCTTCCCGAAATCACGTCGCCGTCGCCGTCTTCCCCTTTCGAGCTCCGCCGTCGAGATCTACGTGAGAGTTCCGTCAATTTGGATTTTCCGCTTACGAGAGCTCTGTCATTTTCGATTTCCCACTTGCTAGCTCCGTGTATTAGGTTTTACTACCGCGAGATCCGCCGTCGAGCTACTCGTCGAGCCGACGAGCCGAGTCCAAGGCTTGTTCGAGCTCGAGCTTGATAAGCCTTCGAGCTCGAAATTGTGTTCGATCTCGACTCACGAGCTCGATAAGCTCGACTCGTTGAGCCCGTTACCGAGTCGAGTTCGAGCCGGCTCACGAGTCGGCTTGACTCGGTTGCACCTCTACTCGGAATTGCTCTTCACAGAGCAGTATTTCTCGTTATTGCCGAGCAAAATCGACCAATACCTAGCAATACCGAGTAATACGCTAACATAGCAATCCCGGGTTCGTTCCGGGTCGGTTTATTGGGCCGCGTGATAAACAGTGAGAACACGTGACACTATTTTACCGACGTCCGAAAGTAGAGTTAGGTCAGGTGACCGGACCAAATAAAAGTTTGGCTCTCCGACCCGTAATTCCGAATCAATCTTGGATCGGGTTGGGACGGGTCGGGTCGGTCGGGTCAACACAGCGATGGCGCAGGAAATCGGCGGGAAACATTGGCTGCTAGGGTTTTTTAACAGTTTGGTTTCGCCATTGGACACGAGAAATCGCCGGAGGTGTCTCAATTCCTTGTTCAGAATGCTGTGGGTTGACAAGTACAGGCCCAGGGTCCTCGACAAGATAACAGTCCATGAAGAAATTGCGCAAAACCTAAAGAAGCTGGTCATATTTCGCGGGTTCTCTTTGTTTTCGATCGAAATATATATTTTTTTGCTTTTCTATGAGCTAAGCATCTTTGTTTCAATTTTTCCATCGTCGTATTTGTAGGTTTCGGAGCAGGACTGCCCGCATCTTCTGTTTTACGGGCCACCAGGATCGGGGAAAAAGACTATGGTCATGGCCCTACTCAAGGAAATGTTTGGCGCTTCGGCTGAAAAGGTTTGCCGCAACCTCATTCTGTTTTTGAATTTGTTTGTTTTGTTCTCACTCGATTTATTTATATGTTAATTTTTATATTGTAGGTGAAGTTAGAGCAGAAGGCATGGAAGATCGATGTAAGCCTTTAACCGTCATGAAAGGCACCATTTTTTTTTCTCTTAACTTTATTTTTGGTATGTGTGTGCAGTAATTCTTCTAAGAATTTTTGCGCACTAGAGTATTGTTTCTAGTCCTTCTCAGACCTTTTTGTTTTTGCAGAGAAATGCAATGGCTACTTTTCCTTGGCATGGTTTAGCTTATTGAATTTTAGGATATATTGTTTTCTTTAGCATCATTTGGCTTATCACAATTGTTTCGGGCTCGCTTTGTGAATCCTTACTTTTCATTTTATACATTTTGAGTGTTGTTTCAGGTAATGAGCCTATTATTCATAAATCATTTTGAATAAATTATGTCCATATAACATTAAGCTTATAGTGTTTCGAGATTAATTTTATCCACTCACATGGTAGATACATTTTCTGTCCAATTTTGTACATGTTCAAGTATCTCAAGTCTATTTTCAATAAACTCATTTTCGATAGGTGCCACTTCAAGTGCTCCTCTAATTTAATAATTCCCCATTAATCCTTCATTATTTTTCCACACATTCAACTTCATATATATAGGCCTATTTTGTCGCTTGAAGTTTGATAAACTTGTTATGAAAAATGATGAATTTACTAGATTATATTGTTTGATTATTTGGTCGGATGTACTTAGAAATCAATATTGATTTTAAACTCTACAAAAACATCTATGCTCCTCAAATATGATGATTCCATTATCATAGAAAATTAGCAAAAATAAATGAGCAAAAATGATATCATTGTAATTTTACGTGGTTTTTTTCTATTTGCAAAGTAACTAAATGAGTCCTTATAGAAAACTAGAACTTTCATGACACTTTGGCATGCATTCAAGTGAACAAGAAAGCTTCTCACAGCTGCCGGTAATACTGAACTGTTCATTCTTTTGTAGGCCGGAACACGTACTATAGAATTGGAATTGGCCATGCTAGCAAGTACCCATCATGTGGAGCTGAATCCAAGTGATGCAGGTTTCCAGGATAGATATATTGTTCAAGAAATCATCAAGGAAATGGCAAAAAATAGGCCCATTGATTCAAAAGGCAAAAAAGGATTTAAAGGTATGATCGTCCAATCTAATAAATGCTAACTTTGCTTTGCCCTTAGCATTCGATTTTGCTGTGTTTGCTCTACCTGGTCCAAATGATACCCATTTGCTCACACCTCGAATCCCAACCAAACACCATTTCATCAATGGCTGTTAGTCTCCATACAAATTTTTGAATGAGTAGGATTTTTGAGAATTATGTATTTTGTGAATTTCTCTGTTAACTGCTCAACTTTGGTAATTTTGATGATTCTCCTGTGAACTTATGAATTTTAGTGAATTTACATTGCATCCATGAATGATTTTTATGATAGGAAATGCTGTATAAAAAATAAATGTCAACTTGAAGATGCCAACTTGAAGATCACATTGTGAAAGATAAAAATGTCATCATTAATAATGATTTCATTTATCTTTTTTCTTTCGTATATGAAAGTAGGTATACTGATTAGAGGGTTGTATACTTGTATTTATGATGACTCGATACAAGCTGTTGTCTTCAATTTAGTTTTTAATTAATTATTTGATATTGCATTAATTTGAAGCCATTCATTTATTAGGTTTTCATACTTTCAAATAGTTTAAACTTCGTCAATTGTAAGAAATTGCTGCTCATACACGGATACTGCTTGCTCCTGCATCTGCTAATATATTTTACACATGCATTGAATTTCTGATACTTAACATGGATTTTACAAGGAAACCTTTTACATGGGCACCTTTTTCATCTATCTTATTTAAATTTCAATCGTTTGTAAGAGTTGTTTTTTGGTGTTTATTAATTTATTTTTAAATCTATTGATAATAAATGAGCAAAAATGGATGAGCTATCATCTTAAACGATTTCTCAACTTAATCATGATTGATGGTTTGTGAAAACAAAGGTGTACTTTTACTTGCTTGTGAACGATTAATTCGTCCTTCATACAGGTATTTGCACCAATTTTTGTATCCTGGAACTTTTATATAATTCTCGCTAATTAGGACCTGCACTCACGAAGTTTTTTGCTTGAATTTCTTTCTTTTTCATGATCACCTTGTTGATCTATAGGTTTCTTGGGATCCCTATTGCCTACTCATTAATCCATATGCTATTGTTATTATTTGTAATTATTATTCTATATTATTTAGTAATCCATGGACTATTATGATTTTTATATAATTATTACTCTTTGATTTTATATGTTTTCTATTAAAATCTTTCCTTGGTTGTATAAATATGATATAAATCTTGGAATCAAATACTCAATCTATTAATTATATATTTTTTTCATGGTATTAGAGTTGTAGGCTTTTTCTCTTCCATGTATTTTTAACTTTCAACACTATATTGCAATAATCTCGCGGTGTTCATTTTTGCACTCTCTTCCTTTCTTATTTTTTATAACTACAGTTTTTAGAGTTTTATTGCCACAATCATTTCCCTTTATTGTGATTTGCAGCCTTTGCCGCTGAATTGCCGTGAACTAATCTCATTAGAGGTGTCAATTCGGGTTGGAAGGTTGGGTTCTTAGGTTTGATCCAAAGTTGACCCGACCTAAATATGTTTATTAACCTAAACTAGAACCTGACCTATTTATCATACGGGTTAAAATGTTTGCCATGACTCGATTTGAACTTATCAAACCCAAATTATATTCATTGGACCCATTTTTGTTAATGTATCATGCATTTAACCCTAATTGAATTGTTTAACTTAAACCCAAATGATAATCAAGTCAATTACGGGTTTTTGGGAAAGCCCGATCCTGATCCCAAAATTAATTGTTTAAGATTTCAAACCCAAATCTGACTTAAATATTAACGGGTCAACTGTACCTTAATTTTTGAGTTAGTTTTGAGTTGGATTGTTGTGTTGGGTCATTTATTGGCATCCCAGTTCTTATTGCAGCAGTCTTCATTGATGCATTTCTTTCCTTGTTTCTTTTTTCTTGTGGAAAAAATCATTATTTTTCTTTTCAGGGATAACACTTGTAATGTCCATGCACTTGGTCTTAGGTTCTCTTGAAATTGAGGGTTGCGAACTTGCAATTTAAATATAATGAGAGAGTTGAAAAATATTCATTCAAGATATCGGTTGAATGAAAAGAGCTATCTAAGTTGGTCAAGATTGGTTCGCAAGTTTTTAAAGGAAAGAAAATTGAGCCATTTATAATGCACAAAAGATAAAAAAGGCTTGGTAGGAGTGCCTGAGAAACATCTTCAACAAGTGACTAACTTGTTTACATTTTCACCAAAGGATTATTTGGGGCAACCTTTTAGAAATGACCAGGCAAGTTTGGAATGGATGGCATCTATTCATTTGCTTGAGGGGGAGTGTGAAATGCTGACATAATTTTCACTAGCTGAGACCCACAGCAACAAGACTTCTTCCCTCTTTCCTTTATCTTTCGCTGCCACCTCATTGATCAATGGATCCCTACTGCCGTTTATCAATTGATGGACTATTGTAATTACTCTGTTATCGTACTTATTCTATAATTATTATCATGTACTCATCAACTCATGGACTATTATAACTCTTATGTTATTATTGTTCCTTGATTTTGTATATTTTCTATTAGAAGCTCCCCCCCCTAGAATTATATAAGTACTACATAAATATTAGATAAAGTACTCAACAAATTATGTCAATTTTTTTTTTTTCATGTATCAAGAACACTTTTGGATCAAAATGGATTTTCAATTCCAGGCCTTGTTGATACAGCCTGCTTAAGAATTTTTTTTCTTTCTACAAAGTATGCTTGGATTTTTATATTCATGTCCTTAGAACTACACATGGTTCCATTTAAGAATTTGAACTTTAGTGATAGTTGCATGTGTTTAGGATTGGAATCTCTACAATGCTGTGTAAGTGGCATGTTTTGAGATGTGAAACCATGCATATTGCGATTACAATAAGTTTGTGATGCTTTGAATGATTTTATTTATTTTTATTTTTTTTATAACATGAATCAACATGATCATGCCAGGTATTATTTATAATACTCTGTATTTTGGATCTGTTTCCTTGAAAATTAGACATGTAATAACTCCTTTTATTCACTCAGTTTTGGTGTTGAATGAAGTAGACAAGCTTTCAAAAGAGGCACAACATTCTCTCAGAAGAACTATGGAGAAATATAGTTCATCCTGCAGGTTAATCTTATGCTGCAATAGCTCTTCTAGGGTGACCGAGGCTGTTAGATCTCGCTGTCTAAATGTGCGTCTCAATGCACCGAGTGCTGAACAGGTTGGTGTGGCTGGATTGCGTTTCTTGTCTAAGTTATCTTTCAACGTCTGTTTCAGTGATGGCTTTTCACTCTAATAAATGATAATCGTGAGCCCCCTTGAGCATGCATATTCTTTTACTGAGATGATTAATGTTGTTTGTTTTGATTGGTTTGTCACAATAAATTGATTCATGTACATGTTTCAAATGTTTTATTGTCTTCTTTTATCTTTTGTGTGGATTATTTATTCTATTAATTTATTGTTTACTTATTTTTAGTCCAAAACAAACTTATATCGTTTGCTTCCTTTGGACGAGTTGTATTACTGATGGGTGAAATGATACCATTCAGTAAAGACTTGATTCATACTTTTGTTTGGAGGTGGAAGTTTTTTTTAGATAATGATAGCATGGCATTTAAGCATGTAAATATAATACAGGATGGCGAATCTTTGACAGTGCACAGCTAGAAGGAAATTATCCCCATAGTCTTCCACGTTTATAGATGAAAGTGATCTGTTCTTAGAGTGTATTTGACTTATCACTTAGCTTATGTAGCATTTATAAGTCTATTTATATATTCTTCCTCTGTTTTAAGGGTAAGTGGATTAAGTTGATTATGGGTATTAGCATTTTACACGAGCCTTCGTTCCATGTGATTATTCCACTTGTTGTTATTATAGTCTTCTATCCTAACATCGTTCCCTAGTTATTTATTTCTCATTGCTGATATAACAACTCAAACCATGCTACACGATTTGTTTAAATATTGTAGAATTATAAGGTTGTTATTCTTTATTTTCACCTTATTTCTTCAATCAGTTTTAAGATGCACTATTTTGAACTTTATGGAAGAACTGAATTAGAAGTATGGCATCATTGCTCATCTTTTTATTTGAGTGACCATTTGATGAGCTTGCCTTCCAACCTTTGTTGACTCTAAATAGTTGCAGTATATTGAAATATCCTGTACGTGCTGTGTGCTTGCAAACTGGTGTAGATCTGTTATTGGCATGCTTAGCTGGAATCAGTAATTTTAGTTAGCTTGATTTATAGTCTTGAACAAGAAAGTTTGCTAGTAGATAGAGTTTTTTGTGAAATTGTATGCTCGCCTTATTGTTCTTTTATAAACTATTGCTTTTCTTATGGTACATCAGGTAGATTTGCAGGGCAACTCTTTTTCTTTATCATCTAAAGTTAAGCTTATAAATTTGTTGCATCCTTACGCTTTATTTGTTGATTGGTGCTATTTCTGCACTTTGTTGTTTGATACAAAGAAAGCTATTGATGCTATTATGGGGCTGAACTAGTACTTTGTGAGTGTGTTGCTCATGATTGTGACGCCATGAAAGAGATGCAAGTGCAGTGTAGCACTTTACAATGGTTTTTTAAAAAATAGCGTTTAGTATTCTAGATTTTTTTGGATGCGAGATTGCTTATTTGGTAGGTAGCATGTGGAGCAATTGATTTGATATTTAGGTCTTGAAGGCTGGGAGAGGCCGCGTATGCTATATTGAAAGATTTTCCACATTCCTATGTATTAGTTTTTATATTTAGGCCTCATTTGGGACGGCTTTTTTACTGCTTCTCAAAACGACTTTTTAATATAAAAATTAAATTTTTTGTACTTAAAAGCTGTTTTAAGAAGCAGCAAGAAAGCCGCCCCAAACGAAGCCTTTGTCTGTATTATATATATATATATATATATATATATACCTTCTACACAAGAATTGAAACTGTATTATATATACATTTCCCTTCCACACAAGAATTGAAAGAAAGGATGACAAATTGTATGCTACTTCTCATATACTGCCGACATAACTTGAGTTTTATCCATTCACTATCTGGCATAACCTTTTTATTTCATTCCTTTGATGTTCCCTCTGATAAATTGGCACACTTTCTTTGTAACTGCTGTTTTTGTCCCCTAGGTTCTCTTATTAGCCTTATTTTGTTTCATTTTCATACTATAGTGTCTGTTTCTTCCTGATCCAGACATTTCTTGATATGCTATACGCATCATGTTATTTTTCCTTATCTCCTTCTTCTGATGGCACTTTATAATAATTTTTTTTAATATTATGAACATAGGCTAAGTTCGGAAAAATAACTGAAATGTTATCGGTCAATACAAATTGTTTTCTATGGCTGTGTTTGTTGATTTGGAAGTTTTTGTAAGTGGGACAACAGTGACTGACTATTTCTGAATTTATTTTGCTTTGATTTATTTATATTGTTGTTAGTGCACTTATAGTGCTAGCATTATTGTGTAGGTTCTCATTGGAATGAATGAATAGGTATAACCATTCTTCTGACATTCTGTCCATCAGATTATTGAAGTTTTAGAGTTAATTGCCAAAAAGGAAAGCCTGCAGCTTCCACCGGGATTTGCTGCGCGTTTAGCTGCACAATCAAATCGAAGTTTGAGAAGAGCAATCTTATCCTTTGAGACCTGTCGAGTGCAGCAGTAAGCTCAACAGAAACCAAATTATCAAATTTTTTTTCCATCTTCTTCTCTTTTGTGCATGTCTGGTGTTGGTAGTTCATCTTATTTGCAAAGATGATTTTGGTTTTAGATATCCATTCACAGTGAACCAAGCTATTCCACCATTGGACTGGGAACAGTATGTTTCGGAAATATGTTCTGACATAATGAAGGAGCAGAGCCCTAAAAGGTTTGGAACTGAATTTTTCTTGCTTATTATTTTGTTTTTGATAATTCATCAAGACTGAAACATTGACTAATCTACAGCAAACTATGGTGTGAATCGTGTGATTATGATATTCAGTTGCAGTCATAATGCTGTATTACTTGTAATAAGTTAATTTTCCAGCTTATTCAAGGCATCGGCTAATAATATTGTGCATTCAATGGCTATATTTTAAGGTATCTGAAATAGTGTAAGATTAGAGGAAGAGGAAGAGGTTCTTTGGTAAAATTTCTCATTATAACCAGTTTTGGAGATATTTTATTTGGCATTAAGTAGCACATACGTCAAGATGATTCTTGATGTTTTGTGAACTGTAACATGCTAGAAGAGCAGTATTTTCTTTCAACTGACCTCAAGATGCCTTAAAATATTGGCCATTATTAATTTCTCATTCTTAGGTAATTTTTGACATTTTAATTGATTGATTTAAATCATGTTTCTCCGTTAAAAAAATCTTTTGATGTGATAATTGTATTTTATGCCGGGAATATTAAAAGATGACTTCTCAAGTTGTAGGATGGGCTGCTTGTCCACCTAATTTCTCTGTTGAATTTAATTTTTCAATCTAAATATTTCCAGGTTATTTCAAGTACGTGGAAAAATATATGAGCTGCTTGTTAACTGCATTCCTCCTGAAATCATCCTAAAGGTGATTAACTTCTGCTTCTGATTTTATGTATCCTATTAAAAGAATGATATAATTTTAAAGGAGAAATTTTAAAAGTCGGGACGGTTAAACTTTATTTTATGTAATTCGAAAAAAAATTGCCAAAGTTAACTTTTGGAACGGCGACTGGCTCGTTCGTACTCGCCATGGTGGACTCTCGCCCGAAACAGGAAGTTGGATGATGAAGCACGGACGACTGGCCATGCTTAATTTTTTTTTTAAATTCCTGAATTCAGCCGGGTGTGATTTAGTTTGTGTGAAGGTTCAAACATATAAGTGCAAAGATTAAATATTAACAAAAAATATTTACAAAACAAATCCACAACCTCAAAGTTTCATACACCATACTAACTCATATCAACATTGATTTCTTAAAAAAAAATCCATGCATCCACAAAAAACTCCAGCAACCTACTCATTTTCCCCTCACGATACCTTCATTTTCACAAAATAGCATGGTTTTGAAAACCGGACCAAACTGGCTGATTCAATTGGTTGAAATTGGGCACTAGTCGGCTAATCAGCCCAGCTGACCCTGTAAACTGCTCTAGCATCAAATCGTTAAAAAAACAAGAAGAACCGCTAGTTGAACCGTAAAATCGACAAACCAGATGGTTTTGAAAGAATTGAACAATTCAAAATTGCGTGTAAAAGGAGTCGTGGATTGCAAAATCAACAGCCATCAATCTTCGAACTCGAGGAATTTTGAACCGTATAACCCTAATCTGCTCAATACGCATTCGCAGTTGCTTTGTTTCCTCCCAGGTCACATTCGCTCCTATGTTCGACTCTTCCCCTCTTCCGTCTTCGTTCTCATATAGCCGTAGAAGGTTGAAATCGAGCTTCAGTCGACTTCCATCTTCATTGACTTTCAGTCATTCGACTTCAATCATTTGCGTATAGCAATAGTCACAATTTCGTGTTTCCTCCCGTTGTCGAAGAACACCTCTAGTCCTCTCAGTTCAAGACACACTTGTTTGTTTTTTTAGCCGCAGGTTCTTATTCATTTATCAGCTTTATTTAGCGTGATCAAAATATATTGTATTTTGATTCCATCGTTTGTTCTCCAAATTTATAATTTATGCCTTCGCCTCTAATATTTATAAATATAAATGCATGTGAAATTCTCTCTATCTATTGTTTGATTAGATATTTAAAAGTTAACTGGATCAATATAGTTTTTATATGTCCGAAGCATTTCTTTGAATAATAACTTTTTTCTTGCTTATAAGAAAGTTTATAAGATGCAAAACAATCATTTTTTATCTTAACTTTGTAAGAAAAATTCTTTGAAGTCAATCGTGAATGATGCTCAAGAAGCAGTTCAATGCACTCAAAGTATTTGTGCAAATGCCTCCTTAGTTTTTCTCCAAATTATTTAGTTAGATTTTCATATCATTATGGGTGTAAATTCATTGAATTATGAGATTTAGGATATTAATTTCATTAATTTAAAAAAATATAAAAATGTTAATTTTATTATTTTTTAATAATTATGAAATTGTTCTGCTTGTACATTTGTTTTGTTACTTTATTTTATTTTTTTCTTTTTAATTTTATGGAGGAAAATCCATTGAACATAGTTTTTGAGAAGTCAATAGAGAAACACAAGCAAGCTCCATCGTATCCAAAGAAGTGAATGTGTTACAACTCATCTGAAATCTGAAAAATAAAGAAAAATTTTTATTTGAGATACTCATGAGCAAAATTAGTAGATGTTGAAAGGGAAAAAATGACACAAAAATGCTAGTACAAGTAGTGTAGTTTGGAGATTTATATTTTATATGAAAGTTTCAATACAAATATTTTTCATTGCTCAAATAAGATTTTATAAGCCTAAAAGCTCAATAGAATTCAAATAAAATTCAATAAGCTCCCATCCAAAGAAAGAAAGCAAGAATATCTATAAAGAATCTAAAATTTAAAATTTTATGTATGAGTTTTCATAGAGTGGTAGGTGAATAATCATATGTCTTGAGCACTAGATGTAAGAAATCATATGTCATATAGTGAATAGTGAATGCAACATTTTTTTTTTAAAATAAAATTCATTAAAAAGCCAACAAGAAATTACAAAATACAACACACACCTAGCAAAATAAAAGCGACCAAACAAAAATGCGAATTACAAGCAAAGAGTGGGCTCAGTAAACAGTCCAGGCTTCAAACGTCCAAGCCGTCCCGCACGGACCATCCAGAAATAAACGGTTGCCACCAGCTTAACGACCGGGACGTGAGCCCCGACCACATCATCGCCCTCATCCACGCGTAGCACCAAATCGCAATAAAACCTAGCCTTCCAAATGATAAACAGCAATACGAACAATACAAAAGCATTCCAAATCATCTTTTACGACGACCACGCCCCCAAAACTTTCCCCGAGAGGCAACTGAGGAACGAACAAGGGAAAAGTCATTATCCGACTCAGAACATTCATAATCAACTTCCTCCTCCGACGAACCAATCAACCAACTGTTCTGATTCCTAATTTCTTTGCCCGAAGACTTCCCCACCCAATCAGCCATCCGAAGTGTATCAACCTCTTTTACAGGAATCTCAACTACATTGTTAACAATCTGAATCCCTTCCTCTACATTCAGAGACGGGCACGCAGCCTCAATCCCACTCGGTTCCACTCCAGCAAGCATGTCATCCCCAGCACCACCTTCCGCATTATCTATCACCTTATCATCCCCAATAATATTCGTTTCATGAATAGGTAAACTATCAGAAGTCTCAAAATTCACATTTACATTATCAACTTCCGGTACCAAAGCAATACCCGAAGACTCCAAAATCACACCCTGCCTAACGCCCCCATCCAGTAACACGGGAACGAAAGGAATGGCATTCGGAGATAATAGGGATTTATCTGCAACCAGCGGCACATCGTTACAGTTATTTACATCCAACGAAACGACCAAATTCTCCTGCAACATACCAACATTATCAACAGATGGCAAATTCATCCCCACATATTCAGGAACATTTACCACAACTTTATTTGCACCCTTAATGCCATTCTCACCACCTAAAGGAGCATTAATTTCCACAGGAACATCCGCAACAGAAGGAGGAACAGGAACAGGACCCGAAATACACTTACCAGAAATGTGTCCTAATTTTTTACAAATACCACAAAAATGAGGAAAATCGTCAAAGACCACCTCTTGAACATACCCTAATGAATCAGATCCTAACCAAACTTGCTTAGGATAATTTTTAGTAATATCAATTTCAACTAAAACACGGGCATTCGAAGGACGAGAGCCAACCGACGTCGCTTCGTCAATTTTCAGCGGTTTGCCAAATAACTCAGCCAGACCAAAAAGGATCCTCGGAGCAAAAAAATGCTGATGGAGGTGAGGAAAAGAGATCCATATCGGGATGATAGGCGACTCAACGCCGATATCCAAAGTCGGCGACCATTTCGTAAGTTTCATATAACAATTGAAAACCAAATAAGAACGGTGGCAAAAAATCCTGCAGTAATCTAAATCCTTCTCCAATTTTATCAAAATATGGGTAGAATCCAGAACAGTAACTGAAACCTCGCCACTCAACTTTAGGTTAAAAAAAAATTTACGTATCGCATCGAGAGGAGGTCGCTTGCCCGGAAAGAAGCCAACCAAAGAAAACCTAAATGGTTCCGCTAAAGCCCTAATTTCTTCATCAGAAACCCACAAAGCAGGAAGATCACGAAAGGTAGAGTGCTTCAGATCAGGAAAAGAAGAAGAAGAACCAGCAAGAGCTTGAAGAAAAGACTTAGGGTGAGAAATCCCCCCAAAAAAGCCAGGATCTCTCAAAATAGACGAAGGCATACCGAAAATGCCGGAGAAAAGGAAAGAAAAACCACAGAGAAACAAGAGAAGAGAGTAGAGAACAACTTTCCTGAAGAGGCAGAGCGGAAAATCCCCCGCCGACGGCGGGAAAACGCCACGACGCCACCCTAGAAGAGATAGCTGTTGTAGAGTATCATTTATGCTAATTTGTGAAAATTTATTAATATACATTGGATTATTACTATAAGAAAAATAGATAGTTGTATTTCTTTTTGAAATAGTCATGATTAAAAAGGAATTTGTATGGATTGCGGATGTGTGCGTTAATTAATTTTTATATCTTTAACTATAATTGTCTAAATTATTAAAACTATTAGAGGAAGTTGTAAGAACAATTACATTTTACTCTTTTATGTTTGATCACTTTGATATCTACATTATCATTAACATATTTGATAAAAGCATAATTCTTATCTTTATCAACACTAACATATGAATCGAACTTACAACCCTCTAACTAATTGTCATGATTCTTGAAATTATAATTTTTTTTCTAGTAATGTGTGCTAAAGCTCTTTAACAATGAATCATCAAAACTATCAACCTGCATTTTCAACTAAGAATGTACGGAAGAAGATAACTATCGCTTGAAATCATTTTGCTGATTATAAAATTGTTGATGGTAGGAAGCAATATAAATGTCTTTATTGTGGAATAACTTATAAAGGTGTAGGCATTAATAAGATGAAACAACATATGTTAGAGATTAAAAGTAATATTACTTATTATAAGAATGTGACATATGACATACGACATCAGATACAACAGAATTTGAATGAAATAAAAAAAAGAAAACAACAAACAAATGAAAGCCTGTCGCAAAATGTTGATATGTGTAGTGGTGATCTAGTTAAGAGATGAGCTCATGTTCAATCACAAAATCATAAAGTTCTGATACATATGGTAATTGTATTGATAAAGAGAAAATAAATATTGATGAAATTAATATTTTTTATGCACCTAGAACAAAATCAAGATCTCAAACATCTTTGAAAAGTGTAATGACATTTAAGGATGCAGTGCACCGTGCTGATTCGATAGTTGCTAGGTAGTTTTATGATAGCTACATTCTATTAAATACTATCAATTCATCTTTTGCATAAAAAACTATTGATTCAATTTTTATAATATGATCTGATTACAAATTATCTTCTTACTACAGATTAAGAGTGAATTTATTATGAGATACTAAAAAGGAATGTAAGTTGTTAATTGAATCTTATAGAATAATATGGAAAAAAACTGGTTGTATATTGATGACTGATGGTTATACATATATAAGAAGTAAGACATTGATAAATTTTCTTATTTATTTATTGTCCTTTTGTAGTTTCATTTCTAAAATCAGTAGATGCATTTGATATCATTAAAGATGTAATGATATTATATTAACTATTCATATTGTTGAATGTATTGGTCAAGATAATATAATTCATTTTATGGTAGATAATGCAATAAATTATAAGAAAGCTTAAGAGTTATTGCATGGAAAATTTGAAAAAATATATATTAATCACCTCGCGTTGCACGTTGCATAAATATCATTCTGAAAGAAATTGGAAACATGCCTTATATTATGGAATTTGCAAAAAAAGTTTTAAAGATTATAATTTTTATTTATAATCATGTTTTTATATTGACTTGGTTAAAAAAAGAGCATGTTGGACAAATTGTAAGACAAGGAGTAACTAGATTTGTAAAAATATTCATTAACTTATAAAGTTTGCATGACCGTAAGCATAATTTACAAGCATTCATCACCAGCAAGACTTACACTAATTCAATGCTTGTAAATTATGCTTGTGATCATACACACTTTATAAGGCAATGAATGTTGTTATGAATTTAATTATTCATGATTTTATAATTTTTATCAAAACTGTTCTTTTTTAACCAAGCTAATATGAAAGTATGGTTATAAATAAAAATTATAATTTTTAAAGCTTTTCTAACAAGTTTCGTAAAGACATGCTTCAAATATCTTTCAGAATGAGGTCTGTGCAATGTGCAGCGTAAGATGACTAATATATATTTTTAAAAATTTATGTGATACCTCACCAGCTTTTTTATAATTTGTTACATTATCTATCACAAAATGAACTATGCTCTTTTGATAAACAAATTCAACAATATCAATGAATATTGAATATAATATTGTGACATATTTAACGATATTAGATGCATATATTAATTTTAGAAATGAAACTCCACGAGAATAATAAATAAGAAAATTTATCAATGTCATACTATTTGTATATGTGCAATTATCAGCCATCAATGTACAAACATTTTCTTTCCATGTTCTTCTATAAGATTCAATTAACAACTTATATTTCTCGTTAGCATTTTGTAATAGTTTCATTCTCAATATGTAGCAAGAGGGTAATTTATAACCATGTTCTATTGCAGAAATTATATCAATAGTCTTTTGTGCAAAATGTGAATTGATATCATTAAATGGAATGTAGCTGTCATAAAATCACCTAGCAAGTACCAAATCAGTACGGTGCACAGTTTTCTTAGATGTCATTATATTTTTCAATGATGATTGAAAATCTGATTTTGTTATAGGTGTAAAAAATATTAATTTCATTAATTTTTTTCTTCCTTTTATCAATCTTTTTACCATGTGTATTCAAATTTTATGACTGAACATGAGTCAATCTCTTCTTTAATTAGATCACCATTAAATATATCAACACTCTGCGATAAGTTTTCTTGTACTTGTTGTTTTATGTTTGTTATTTCATTCAAATTCTGTTGCATCTGATGTCAGATGTCATGTGACACCTTCTTAGAAGAAGTAATATTATCTTTAATCCCTCCCAGATGTTGCTTCATCTTATTAATATCTTAACTCATATAAGTTATTCCATAATGAAGACATTTTGTATTATTTTTTATCATTAACAGTTTTACACTCAGCAAAATAGTTCCAAGTGATATCTATCTTCTCCGCACGATTTGAGTTCAAGGTACATGTTGATTGTTTTGTTGATTCATTGTTAATATTAAGTTGAAGATGCAGTCAGTGAGTTTTAGCACAAATTAACAGAAAAAAAATTTATAATCTCAAGAACCACGATAATTAGTTAGAGGTGTATAAGTTTGATTCATATGTCAGTGTTGATAGAGATGAGAATCATGCTTTTTTCAAATAAGTTTATTGTGTGAGTATTAAGATGATCAAAGGTAGAAGAGTAAAATGTAATTTTTATTAGATCTTTATTTAATACTTTTAATATTTTTTACAATTATAATTAAAGATGAGAAAATTGATTGACACACATATTTGTAATCCATACAAATTCCTTTTGAATTATGACTATTTCAAAAAGAAATACAATTATTCATTTTTTCTTTAATAATGATCCAATGTATATTAATAAATTTTCACAAAATTGCCATAAATGACACTCTACACCTATTTCAATTATGTTGCATTCACCATTCATCATATGCCATATGTTCTCTTATATCTAATTCTTAAGACGCACGCTTATTCACCTAGTACTATATGAAAACTCATGCATAAAATTTTAAACTTTATATTTTCTATAGATATTTTTTCTTTCTTTGGATACTTTTATTGAAAATATAAATCTCAAAACTACATAACTTGTATTAGCATTTTTTTTGTTATTTTTCCTTTCAACATTTACTAATTTTGCTCATGAGTATCTCAAATATTTTATTATTATTTTTTAAAATTCAAATGAGTTGTAATACATCTACTTCTTTGGTTGCGATGGAGCTTGCTTGTGTTTTCCTATTGACTTCTCAAAAACTATGTTTAATGGATATTCTTCCATAAAATTAAAACACAAAAAACAAAATAAATATTAAAACTAAAAAAACAAAATAAATAAAGATGACATAGGTATGAACAAAATACTTTCATAATATTAAAAAATAATAAAAATATTATATTAATTTTATTAAAAAATAATAAAATTAATATCATAAATATCATAATTTTATGAATTTAGACTCATAATCATATGACAATTAACTAAACAATTTGAGGAAAATTGAGACATTTGCACAAACACTTTGGGTGCATTGAGCTGCTTTTTCAACATCATTCAGGGTTGACTCCAAGGAATATTTTTTGCAAAGTTAAGATCACAAACGATTATTTTGCATTTTATAAACTTCCCTATAGGCAAGAAAATTTTTTTTGTTCAGATGAATGCTTCAGACATTAAAAAATTATCTTGATTTATTTAACTTTTGAACACCCAGTCAAATGATAGAGATGGAGATTTTCACATGCATTTATATCCATAAATATTAAAGGTGAATGCATAAATTATAAATTTGTAGAACAAATGATGAAATCAAAATTAAACATAATCTGATACACCAAAATTGAATAAAGCTAATGAAAGGAAAAGAACATGCAACTAAAAAAAAGAACCTATGATTTGTTTGAATTGAGAGGACTAGAAGTGTTCTACAGCTAGGGGAGTAAACTTGAAACTGTAGCTATGACTATATGCAAATGACTGAACGTCAATGATAACGGAAGCCGACTGAAGCTCGATTTCAATCTTCTATGGTTATATGCGAACAAAGACAGAAGAGGTGAAGAGTCGAGAGAGGAGCGATCGCGGCCCGGGAGGAAACAAAGCAATTGCGAATGTGTATTGAGCATATTAGAGTTATGCGGTTCAAAATTCCTCGAGTTCGATGATTGTCGGTTGTTGATTTTGCAATCCACGACTCCTTTTACACGCGATTTTGAACTGCCTAATTTTACGATTCTTACGGTTTTTTAACGGTTCGATGCTAGAGCGGTTTACAGGGTCAATCAGATCGGTCAGCCGGCTGATTCCCTGTTGAACCGGCCGATTTGGTCTGATTTTCAAAACCTTGTAAAATACTACAAAAAGAAATTACCTTCACACAAGTTCTGCTACCCAACGGCCGTATCTCGAGCTTGCAGCAAACGTATCGAAGCAAGCCGAACGAAGTGCGAAGGAAGAAGGATGGGTTACGGGCAGGCATTTAAAAAATATATGTGTAGCCAGTCGCCCGTTATGGCTGAGTCAGCAAAAAAAAAGGCACGCTGGCAAGTCAGTTGCCGTTCCAAATGCCAACTTTTGCAAATTGTTTTTTTGAATTTTGACGAATTACATAAAATAAAGTTCAACAGTGCCAACTTTTAAAATTTGTACCATTTTAAAGGTCTGAACATATCATTCTAGTTTCTTCTCCATCACAAACTTGATTGAAATATCTTGTTAAATTTTGGCAGAAGTTATTGTCAGAGTTATTGAAGAAGCTAGACTCGGAGTTAAAGCATGAAGTTTGTCACTGGGCTGCATACTATGTAAGTATGCAACATTCAATGTTAATAAGCTTGATGGAGGAATTAAACAAATTCTTTTCTTTCATAGGGATCAAAATGCATATGAGGTTTACTTGTTTACATGATTACATCAATTATTTTTAATTGCTTTCAAGTATTTTGACATCATGCCAGAAATATAGTGATGATTTTTTCTATTTTAGTTTCGCGTTGCCATTTCATAGTTTTGCAAATAAGTATATTTTGATCTGTTTTGTATCTGCAAGTCTAATGGTGGTTCTTTAGGTTTATGAAGCAATATATCTTTTTTCCTTATCATGATATAAAATTTAGTTATGACAGTAGTGCAAAATCCAAAATTTAAGTTTACTATAATAATCCAATAATGTTTACATAGAATTATTTAGTTGCTTCAACATTTTATATTATTTATCAAAATGGTGTTCTTTATTGCTACTAATAGGAGCGCTGTATTTATTTATTCCTCAATGAAGGGTGCTATATCTCAGAGACATAGGCTTCGTTTGGAATGACTTTTTTATTACTTCTTAAAGCTGCTTTTTAGTTAAAAAAAAAAATTTGTACTAAAAAACTGCTTTAAGAAGCAGTAAGAAAGCCGTCCCAAACAAAGCCATAATCAAATTTCAAGTTGGTGCCTAACTATACGTTTATTGTGGGGAAATAGGCCACGCTTTAGTCATCTAGGGTCTATTTGGGTTTGCTTTGAGCTATAGGTACTGATTGTGACAAAGTTTTCTTTATTTTTCTTATAGGAAAAATAGATAACTTCATGACAATAGGTGCCTATTGAAGCTTTCTTTATTAAGTGTTATGGGTTAATTCATCCAAGGAGCTTCCCACCACCACAACAATAACAACAAACAAGAAGTCTTTATCTCACTATGCGGGGATCGAAGGAGCTTCGTAAGACTTAAAAAATACCTTTTGATCTTGAGTTTACTCAATGATGGTTATGGAATTACTTTATGATTATTGTGCTTTGGTATGATTCTTAGAATTTGATTTTACCCACTGAGAAGTACTCGAAACAAGGGGCATTGAAATAAAGCTACATGACTCACATCTTGTTCCTTCTTGTTTATAGATTTAAGAGCCAACTATAGGTCTCTTAATTGAGATTCTAACTCATGGACCTTGACTTAATAAACATCAGGGCCTATTAAGATGACTTGGATTCAAGGCATATCTCTTAGCCTTTTAAAGCCTTCTGAAATTCTAGGCTGCCGGGGGTACCATTTTGATGTAAATCTTGAGAATATTATATGATTAATAACATGAAGAGTGACTTTTAATATGTTTTCTGCAGGAACACAGGATGCGGCTCGGCCAGAAGGCTATATTTCATATAGAAGGTGATTAATTTGCAAAACTAAATGAATCATTGCCATCATTTGTCTTTTCACTAACTCTTCAAAGATTCTAAAAATTTCCCATTATTTTGTGATTATGACTTAACAATTCCTGCTTGCTAATTTAAAAAATTCTAATGATTGCTGAGAAACGACCCTGACAATGTTATATTGTAAAACTCCAATTCTAATGAATAATCTCTTTACTTAATGTTCCTTAAGAGCTTATAGGCTTTTTCATAACACTACATAACGGTACAGATTATTGCCACTCTTTTTAGCTGTATTTATTTTTATGTTTTTAGATATTTATGCTTTACAATCATATTAAACCTTCCAAATTTCTAACTTTTTCACAATAGCTTTACATTTATCTTACAAATATGTTAGGACTTTGAACACTAAAAATCAACGAACAAACACTAAATTTTAGCAAACCAAATTTAAATTTGAATAACGACCCTTTGTTTCACTTTAACTCTTTTGTTAGTCTTCATTTGGGACAGTTTTAAATCACTATTTTTTCTGTCTTCAAGATATTTTTGTACTAAAAAATAGTTTTACAAAGCAATAAGAAAGCCCTCCCAAATTAAAGCTTTAGGTTTCGTTTGAGACAGCCTTTTTTTTTACTTCTTTAAACAGTTTTTTAATACAAATTTTTTTAATTTTTGTATTATAAAGTTACTTTAAGCATTAAAAAAGGCGTCCCAAACGAAACCTTAGTGTTATTTCCAATCCAATTTTTTCAACCTTACACAAGTTTTATTTTTTTGTGCTATAAATATATTGCAGCTTTTGTGGCCAAGTTCATGAGCATCTACAAGGCATTTCTGATAGCAACATTCGGCTAGAAGGGATCAAAGCAGGCTCATTTGAAATTTTATCCCGCTGAGACTTTCTGGTATTCATTCGTATTAATTATTATTTAAATATCAATTCAATACTTACATTGAATTCATTTCATTCCATATCATGAATCTATTTTGCAGCTAAAACTTGGTTAGCGGCCACAGCCATTGCTTAGACGGAATTAATCTCATATATATATTTGGTTAAGTTGCCTGACTTTGTAGAAGAAAATTTTACTGTACTCTCTCTCTAAATTTTGCCCAGTATTGAATGTAGGAATGGCTTTTTGTTCTGCTAGACAGTTAAATATGTAAGGGTGGTAGCCAAGTAAAATAATATGTTGGTTCAGTTTTATCAGTTTGGCTTGTTATGATTTGCAATATTGCATAAATTAATGGTGATTTTGAAAACTGAGTAGAATCTGCTTATGCTGATGTGATGTATACTGGGTAATTAAACGAAGCAAAATGACTCAACTTGAACGAAGTCAATTGAATAATTTATTGACTTTGCTGCATTATATTGAAATTTGAATTGATTGGCTCCGCTTAAGCTGAATATTACCTATGATCAGGGGTGGAATCAGTCTTAATTTTTAGGAGGGACAAACTTAATTATAAGAATATAAGTACAGAAATTTCATAGATATACATGGGGTCCAAGAGGGCAGTGCCCTATAACGGGGTTTGATCTGCCCGATCAAGTTGTGGGGTCAAGGGGCAGCATTCTTGCGGGAGTTTTTGGGGGCAACACGTACGAAATAAATTTTGGTTTTAAGAGTTTTTTATTATTTATATTTGTATTTGGTTCATCATTTCTTAAACATAACACTGATATAATGTGTTTAATTATACTTGGGTGTTTGTGAACTATGTGATGCCACACTTCCTGAAAATGCTGTTGAATCTTGCATTGGGTTGGAGCTCCTGATGGATGGTAAATGTTTGTTTGACATTCGTTTGCAGTTGGCCTTAAGTTGAAGTAGAGCAATATATGTATATATCGATTAATTCAAGAGATGCATTTAATCCACGAATTTTTGTTTATTAAATGAATTTCTGCTTGTATTAAGGATGTTTGGTTCTCCTTATGCATCGATGGCGCTTTGATGGGTTTTTTTTCCGTCCACCTCCGGGCTTAGGCAGGGCTGCCCTTTAAGTCCCTATCTTTTTCTGTATTGTCATGGATGCGCTATCTTGTCTTTTTGATAGTACTGTTAATGGAGTGATGTTTGAAGCTCCTCATGTTGATGAAAATAGGATTTCTCACCTCATGTATGCTGACGATCTCCTTCTCTTTGCTAGAGCTGATGCTCCTAACTGTGTCATTATCCATAAGCTTCTTCTAAAGCTTCAGGACTGGTTGTTAACTATGGGAAAAGTTCTATGACTCTTCCAAGCAACTGTGCCAATTCTGAAAACATTAGTAGCATACTTAACATTCCTTTAGTTCAAGGATTACTTATCTTGGGATTCCCCTTTCCTCTTACAATCCTAAAATCTCAGATTTCTCCATTCTCATGGAGAAAATCAACCACAAGCTTGCTGGATGGAAAGCCAAGGCACTTTCTTATGCTGGTAGACTACAGTTTCTGAAATTCACTATATGGAACTCTATAGCATATTGGATTCGAGGTGCAATAATACCTAAAACTTTAATTAAGCAAATTGAGAAGCTTTGCTCCAAGTTTCTTTATTTTGGGGATACGTCGGCTCGTAAATTACACCTCATATCTTGGAAAAACACTTGCAAACCTAAAATATATGGAGGACTGGGAATTCCATCTCTCTTCTCGGTGCAATTTAGTTATGCTTGTGCTCTTATTGGGAGGATTTACAACGTTAACACTCCACTCTCTTCTTGGCTTTTACACCATTACATTTCACCATGGAAACCACCTATTTCCAAGGCAACCTCATTCTGGAAATATATATGTAAAATTGCTGTTATGGTCAAAGATAACTACAAATTCTCTGCTTCTTATTATACACCTACTTCTCTTTTTTGGGACCATTGGATTAACGGGCAGACGCTTAATGAGGTTCCTCATTTATATGACTTGCTCAAACATTTTCCTGGGAATGCTAAAATTTCTACCGTACTTAATGAGCACGGCTGGGTTTTTCCTTCTGGTCTATCAGATGTTCTGCTAGGCCTGCTCCCACCTATCACTACTGCTGGCAGTGCCTGTTTGATTTGGGGAGATGGTAATGTTAAGCAGAGCAATTTCATTAGTTATCTATACAATAATGAGCCCAAAGTCCCCTGGTATCATTTTGTGTGGCATAAACGTTTCTCACTGAGATATTCCATGTTTGGTTGGCTGGCATTACGGGATGGACTTAAAACGTCTGATATTTTAAATCAAAGGGGTATTTTGGTGGAGAATACCTGTTGCCTTTGTCATATTGAAAATGAAAGTATCTCTCACTTGTTTTTTGAATGTCAATATTCTTTTGCTGTGCTGACCACTCTTATTCCGGGTATGAAGAATCAATTTCTCAGGCCCAATATTCTACAAGCTTTTGAATGCACTGCTATGCCTAATAGCAAGTCCACGGCTCTTTATCATCTTATTATTTGCTCTGCTATTTATCATATTTGGAGAGAAAGGAATGATAGAAAATTTGGTGACTCTTATGCATCATCTACTACATTGGGTCTAAAAATCAAGAGTGCAGTTTTTGCTAAAATGCTGAAATGGAAAAATGGACATTCTCTTATGGAACTGCTTTAGATCTGGCTGTTGTGCCTTCGGGAGCCGTTTTTGATGCTGCTGCTATGTTTTTCTGTGCTGTGATGTTGCTGTTTTTTGGGCAATGATGAGTGGATTGCCTAAGTTCTCCCTTTGGATGGCAGAATTGGTGTCTTCTGCAACCGGGTTGTCAGAGCATTGGCAATTCCTGAGCCCATGTGTGGGGATATTCCTTCCTTCTTCCGCAGTCAGCTTTTTGGAGGCTTCTTTATTGTTTTTGTAGTTGTTTTTTGTAGGAGTTTCAACTATTTCTGTTGTTCAGCTAGCTCCTAGTAGTCTGTCTTAATTTTGCTGTTGTTTTAGCTTCTTTTTTCAGATTACACATGTAAGCGTCTTTCAATATATGAAAACGGGCTAAGCCCACAATTCTTCCAAAAAAAAAAAAAGAGGCAAATTTGTTTCTATTTCAAAATAATTAAACTATCTTTCACACTCTGCCTTGTTACAATCCACAGTATAACAATATGTCAAAATTCAAAACACCAAGCTATAGTCTGCAAACAGCTAATAAAATTTCAGAAACCTCGGTGATATCTATTAGATGAATACTTCTCTACACGCTATGGTCAAACTTGCTGGAAGATCTAATAAAGTAACCTACAATATGTAAATCAGCGCCTATCCTACAAAACGTGTAATAAAAAACCCATTAGTGTAGATAAAAAAAGAATCAGGACGTTACTTTCACTCGGAGAAAAAGGAAAAATTATAAGGTACACATGTCAGACGTGAAGATACATCCGAACATCCACTTAAAATGTGACACGTGGAGTGCATTTTTGTTGTATTTTTTTGTGCGCTTTATCTGCATTTTACCTACGCTTTGACTGCTCTTTAGTTGCGCTTTTTTACTGCATTTTGACTGTGTTTTACCTGCGCTTTTAATGAGCTTGACTTAAAGTTCCACGGACACATTAAACATATAAAGTAAAAAAAAAATACTCCATGTGTCAAAATTTTATTGAAGTCGGGACGTATCTCTAAGTCCAGTGTCAGCACCTAATAATTTTCCCAGAAGAAGATCATGAATGATACGAAGAACATCTGTTCCATTTCCATTCTAATCTTCTGGATCCATTTCTTCATCTTGTTCGCTGTGCCTGCTCATTTCTCCACTGTTTCCATCACCTGAGTCTTGTTCCTGCTGCCCAAAATAGGGCTCCAGTTCAGGAAGATCTTCGCTTTCATCTTTCATGTCGGTGGAATCTGGAACGACTAATTGGAGACCTCGCGACAACCAGTCGGGGCAGGTTTCCTCGTCGCCGTACAGAATCCGGCCGCCGGAACCAATTACAGGATTTGGTACTTCTGATGGCTTTGATGCTGCTCTGCAGGAGCATTCTGGCAGGGGATGTGAAATGAAGGAATTTGGTTTTGATTTCTCGGCCGCAAATATCAAGCCTTTGATGCCAAGGCTATCATTTAGATGCTGGCGCACCAATATTGTCCAGTTTTGTTTTGGGTGATACTGCTTGTCCTTGATTTTGTCTAATAGGTTGACAATAGTTTTCCTGTTGCAAGGGCAGTTTAGTAATTAGTTCTATCTATGAATGTGGTAGAGATCAGTTAAAAAGAAACATTTTTCTGTGACCACACATTTTTTGAAAAGAAAAAAAAAATGATGTGAATGAAGAAGCCAAAAACAAGCCACGCCATTCATGCCTAGGGTTGTCAAAAATGTATAAATAAAATAAAATAAAAAAGTCATTGGCCTTGTTTGATTTGATAATTAGCTTAAGTTTGAAAGATTTTTTCTGGCTCGTCTATCTAGTGAGCCAAATACTAACAATGCATTGTTTGATAGTTTTGGCTCGTGGTAACTAGATTTTTTCGAGCGATGGGAGAAAGGAGCTAGGGTCGGCTCTTGTTCTTCCGAGGTGTGCGAACTAGACTGGAGCGTGAGATAAAGTTAAGGAGGCGATGGAAAAGGTCAGTCTGGATCAACTTCGGTTTAGCGGATTGACCCGGACCCGGACCGACCCATTTTTTCCAACGGGTCAAATCCTGGAACCTGAATCCGACCCATTTGCGAAATGGGTTGACCCTAATTCAAAATTTTCGGATCAGATTCGGATCGTGTCATATATATATATATTCTAAAATTGACATAGAATTTTTCAAGAATACTTCATTTTATGAACAGCTCGAATTTAGCTCGATAAAAGAATTGAAGGTTTAAGTTTTTTCAGTAGTACCTGTCGGGTCGAAATGTTCGAGAAGCTGACATTTGGTACAAACGATGGCCCATAACTAGACTTGAAAAATCAGGCCAACCACTCCCGTCGTCGTGAAATCCTGGAAAGAACACATCAGCTTCAACAGAAACAAAATAATCAATAGCATTCCATATCATCTTGTGCGCCTGCACCCTCATATCCATTAGTGAAGGCTCTGGTTCAGTTTCATTTTCTGCAATCCAACCATACCAGCCTTCCTTCTCGTGCTGATAGAAAGGCCTCGCAGGAGGTGGAGGAAGAGGTCTTGGTCGAGGCCCGGCTCTGTTCCACTCTCTGATAAGTTGTTCTTTGGTTCTCTGTGGTGGAGGATTAGGGAGATGTGAAGGAATAGGAGATTCTGATCCTAATAGAATGGATAACTCTTTTTTACTACACAGCAAGGTGCGGTCGACCAAATTTGGGTACATTGCACGCAAAGGTATGAGAGTCCTTTGGCCACCAAATGTCTCGGCACCAGCCAAATATATGACTGTGTCTGAAGGATATCCCATTGCCCTAAGGAGAAGGCCAACCTGAAAATTGTGGTGAAAAATTCTAAGTCATTGATTCAATCAGCAAGCACTGAAAAAACTTTATAGACTGTTTTAGAAAATGTAAAAATAAAAACAATCTGAGAATATAAATTAAGCTCCATAACTTTATCATTTACTTTCACGCACGTAAATATTATACAGTTGGACTAATTACTGGAAATAAATAAATATATGTTAAGTTGTGGAGCTTAATTTTAAAGTTAAGAAGAAAATGTGCTACACATGATTGATAATGAAATCATAGTAAAATTTGCAATAGTGGCAATGGGACAAAGCCATCAATTAGGTGAACATGTATAAAATTCTGTGTTTTTTTAGTTGATCTTTTTTCAATATTATATTTTTTTGCTATTATTCATTTTACCTATTTACCTTACATCGCTTATTAGTTTTAAATTTAAGAGGAAGGGGCAGAATATGAAAAATTTAGTAAAACGTTGTTCTAAGATTAGATGGAGGTTCTTAAAAAAAATACTTTCAAAAATATTTTTGAGAGTAAGATTCGAGATCTTAAGATTTTGTTCTTGCATGAGGAAGCGAATGTTATGTAGGATAAAATAGCTAGTAATATTAAAATATTGCAATGGATGTGCTTGGAGTTTCAAAAGTAAAATCTTTTAATAATAAAAATAGTTGGTGGTGGAATAAAAAATGCGCAAGAAAATATAAAAAATAAGAAGCTTTATTATAATAATTAGTTTAGATGTAAAAAATTTAAAAATTGGGAAAGATATGAAGTTGCCCGTAAGAAGTCTAAGAAAGTAATATGCGGTACAAAAACTTTAGTTTTTAATGATTTATATAATAGATTAGATATTAAAGAGGGCGAAAGATATATGTACAAGCTAGTCAAATAAAGAGATTTGAGTAGTAAGGATTTAGTTCAAGTGAAGTGCAATGAAGATCAAAAAGTATTTTTTTTAGAAGAGGAAATTCAATAAAGGCGGATGAGATCTTTTGTTAAGCTTTTCAATGAAGATTGTGAAAATACGACTGACTTTAGTGATATTAGCACTCTAAATGGACATAGAGATTTTTATTTTTATTGGCATATTAGTAAAACTGAGTTAGAGATTCTTTAAAGAAAATGAAGTGTGGAAAAACTAGTGGACCTGATGATATTCCAATAGAGGTGTGGAAATGCTTAGGAGATGAAGAGTTTATTGTCTTAATAAACTTTTTAATATTATTTTGAAGACTAAAAAGATACCAGTTGAGTGAAGAATAAGTGTGTTGATTCCTATTTTTAAGAGTAAAGGTGATGCACAAGATTGTGTGAATTATAGAGAAATTAAGTTGATATGTCATACTTTAAAACTATAGGAGAGAGTTATGGAGCGTAGGTTACGACGTGATACTAATGTTTCTCAAAATCAATTTGGATTCATGCCGAGTAGATTTACTATGGAAGCTATTCATTTATTGAGAGGGTTGGTGGATGTTGACCTGCTGTATTAAACAAAAGAGAGAAAACAAAAAAAAATTAATTAAAATCCACGTACCTGTCCGGCGCCGAATTCAGCACGTCGTCGCCCACGACCTCGCACGATCGGATGTCCCTCTACATCGTGTTAACGACTCTCGCAATCGCTTCTCTCTCTCTCGATCTCATTCTCTCGCTCTCCGATATTTCTCCCTCCCTCTCGTACGCTCGACTTCGCTGCTCGACGACACTTCCTGTTGGATCGGAGTTACGACATTCTGATCGGAAGTAGGCGCGGGAGCACGCTCGCAGTGAGGATAACTTTCTCCCTTTGCTTCTTCGGCTCCTTCTTGGTTGTTCGACTCTGCTCCTTTGGCGACATTCCCGTTGGATCGGAAGTTAGAACATTTTGATCGGAAGCAATTACAAGAGCTCGCTGGAAGTGAAGGTAACTTTCTCCTTCTCAAGTGCTTCTCCGGTCTCCTTCGTTGCTGTTCGACTCTGTTCCTTTACCGACATTCCCTTTTTGTCGGAGAGGAAATTACGACACTTTGATCGGCAGCAACAATAGGAGCTCTTTGGCTGTGAAGGCAACTTTCTCCCTTACCTGCACTTCTTCGGCCAAATCCCTGTTACCAAACAGCCTTTAGGGCTGTTTTTGTTTTATTATTATTATTATTATTAAATGTTTTAATAATGATAATAATCAAGGTTTTGAAAACCGGACCGGACTGGCCGGTTCAACCGGTTCGACCGTGAACTTGTCTAGTGGCCGGTCCGATCCAGCTTCAGAACCGGCTCTGCATAGAACCGGATCAAACCGGATTGAACCGGCGGTTCAACCGGTGAACCGGTCCGGGTTGGAAAGAACCGGCCGGTTCATAAAAAATATTTTTTTTTGTTTTAATTAAAATTTTAAAAATACATTTTTGTGTATTAAAATTTTTTAAACTTTTAAAAATATTTTTATTAAATATGATGATTAATTTCATCATAATACATACAAGTTATCTTAAATACCTCATATAATTTATTTTTCAAAGAGAGTGTACTTCTCACTTTATAAAGGGTTCAAGGGAACATCTTTAAGCTCCCCCTATGATGTGGGACTAAAGAAGTTGCATGAATAGTTTAGAATGTGACTTGGGGCTTATTTGGGCTAGTTGGGCTTCAAAATTTTTTTTAGTTGGGCTTTAATTTTTTTTATTTGGGCTATAAATTTGAATGATATGTATTATAAATTTACTATAATATATATTATAATAATTATATTATAAATTTATATATTATATTAAATAATATTCTTATAAAT